TTCTAGATTTCTTTCCAGTGCTAGCAAAGATTTTCCATTTTCATTCCAGGTCCAGGAGTAATTTGCTTGTTCAGAGTCCGAGGGGGAAAATCCTCCAGCTGTTCAGGGCTTGGCATAGGTTTCCCACACCTTGGAGGATTAAGGTCTTTGTTAAATGGATACTTGAGAAGAGAACAGAATCTTGAAGTGCAGCTTACAGCTCCATGCAGGTCATCTGACACCCACACAATAACTCAGCCATAGAAGACAGCCAGTTCGTGCACTTTTGCACACATCAAGCAGTGCAAGAGGGATGAGTGAAAGCCACGTTTAAACTGTTAGAGCAACATTTCTTGCTCACTCCACAGCACCATTTGTTCCCAGAGCTGCTTCTTTAAGAGGCCTTACCTGCAGAATTTCTCCTCCAGATGTACCTGCTCAGACCCTTAGGTCATATTCAGAGGTCCTCCCTCTGGGTATCTCTACTCAAGGAAGGTGGCCCTATGAAGTCTTCTCAGCTGTGATACCTGCCTAGGGATTGCCCTTCTCAAAGTGCTTGGCTTGGCACCTCATGGTTAGTGGTCCAGCACTGAGCAATGGCATCTCTTTTCTCCCAGCCATTTTGTATTCTAGATTTTGGTGACCCTTATATATTTGTATCATTCCTGAGCTTTTTGTATTGGGTTACCTAAAAAATGACACACTGTATTTTAACAGATTGTGTGATACTGTTGTACAGGCAGTCCCCAGGTTATGAACATCCCACTTATGAACAAATGGCCAATAAAGCCTATTAATTTAAAATTCTGAGTTAAGGCCTACTGCAGAAAATCATCAGCATTATAGAGGGAGGAAGTGAAATGAGAGAGAAGGAGGGCCTCCAAAGCATCACCATAGAGAGAGGGGAAGTGAAAGGGGAAAGAAGGGACCTTCAAAGCATCACCATAGAGACAAAGAAGGCAGAGAGGGAGGCCTCCAAAGCATACCTTCCTGCCCTGGTGAGGGGGGGGGGGGGTGGGGGGGGGGGAGGGAGGGGTTATTTGCAGTTTTTCCACTTTCACAGGGGTCCTGTGCTCTAAACCCACTAAAATGTGGAGGGCTTGCCATACATGATCTGACTTACATACACAGTCAACGTAAAGATGAGAATCCATCTTCTCAGGAACAGAACTTGTTCGTAACCTGGAAACTGTATGTAGTTTCAATCCACCTGCAGAACTTTTGTAGTTGAGTGGCTTAAATCATATATTAAAATAAAATAGCAGGACAGCAGTCGGGCTCTTCTGCTGGGTCACAGTTCTGATCTGCTGGATGCCAGGAAGCCTTCAGCAGCTTGCAGCTTTTTAGCCTAGCTTGTTTAGATGCTTAATCACCTGAGCTTTTTGGGCGGTTAGTTTATTTCATATCCTCTTGTTTAGAAATTGTGTTCTATGTACTGTAGCTTCATATGTATACACCCCCAAGGCCTTTTGGAACATCAGGTTCCCTTACAAATCAGTAAGATCATAAATGTGTGAGCAAGAATTAATCACAGCAGGTGCATCAGCCCCTGTTTAGATCAACCAAGTGTACCTCTTCTAAGCAAGTGCTGTCACACAAATCCCTGAGCTCTGGTAATCCAGTTGCAGCAGCAGTGACAGACAGCAGGTGCCGCCAGGTGGTTTTCAGCTGCGATCTGTGGCTATCATAGAAGTAGGCAACTTGTAGCCTTCAACTCCCACTAGCCCTAGCCAGCACAGCCAATAATAGCAAGGGAAGATGGGACTAGTAGGTCAAGACCCAAAGGACCACAAGTTGGCCGCTACTCTAAAGATGAAGGAGCCATGCTGTCTCTGGGCACCTGCTCAGCCCAGGGATTTCTGTCAAGACCCAGGATTCAGCTTGCAGTCCAGCCACACAAAAATCCTCTCCTATGTATCTTCCCAAGCTTTCTTCTCTGCGTCCTGCTTTAGAAAAGGTGGAGGAGGAAGGAAAACTGTTTTGAGTCAGAATCACTTGGCCCTTGGAATGTTGACTGCAGCTCCCATCAGCCCTTACTAGCATAGCCAGTGGTGAGGAACGGTAGGATGGCCATGGATTTAACAACCCTCGCCTAGAGCTATACCACTTGATCCTCTTGCTTTAACCCCCATGCTTATGGGAAGATCCACAACTCAGTGCTAAAGCAAGCACATCACCCAAAGGTCCCTACTCAAGTCCTCAGTATCTCCAGTTAATTGGACCTCAGGCTACAAGGCCAGGAAATACCTTTCTCAGCCTCAAGTCTGGAAGAGTCACTGCCAGCAGGTCAACAGGGCTGGGCTAGATGGATCAATGACCTGATCGGCCAAGGCTGGGGGCTCAAATGTTAATGGGTTGGTGTATCCACTCCAAGTCTCAGTTTGAACTGCAAATGAGCAATCTATGGGGCCAGTGATTTGGGGGCGGGACTTCAGCACTATGGATAGCTCCCTAAGAGTTCAGATTAAAACCTGCAATGGATACAATGCTCCAGCAATGCAGGAATCACCAGCTTCCACCATGTTTCAGTATGAAGCAGCTCCACTTGTAGTTTGTTAGAAGCTGCCTTCATAGAGAATTTAAGAAATAAGCTGTGAGCTGCTTCAGGTTTAATTTAGTAGAGGCATTTGCCGTATATCTGAATGCATCTCCATCTCCCTCAAGAGGCCCACACACTTATCCAAGACTAATGCAAGAGAAAGAAAGCTATTTCCCTGGCATACATGTAAGTCTGGCATCTACATTCCCAGGAAATTGGAGCTGGCTTCACAGCCATGACCTGAGCTACCCTGCAGCATCCAAATCGCATGTAGGAGCTCAACTTTGCTTGGTTCTTTCTTCTGTTTGGTCTGCAAGGGAAAGGGGGAAAAAACGGCTGGATGTCAAGAAGCAAGCCAAGAACCAGGTTTGCCTTCCTTCTCCTAGAGGAGATTCTGGTGATCAGGAGGTGGTGCTGGATGCCTCTTTGCCCACTGTGAACAGGGGACCAATCCATACTGCAGGACTGTATTGGTCCCTGTACAAGTAAACTGCACAAAGGGGGAATGTGCATCCTTGAACATGCAAGGGTACAAAGCCAACCTGTGTCAAGGAGACCTAATTGTCTAGCCTGGGAGCAAACAGAAAGATTCCCAGATGTTTTTTATCTCCAACTCCCAGCATTGCTGACCACTGGCCACACTGACTGGTGTTTATGAAAGTTGAAGTTCAAAGCATCTAGAGTTCTGATTTCTGCTCACGTCCGCCATGGCTTGAGCAACATATTCCTCTGCATTACACTTCACTGTAGAAACTGGGGAAAAGACACATACACACAGAAATTTTCTTGCTGAGAAAAGGATTACTCAGGTCCAAGCTTTGACAAACAAGAATGCCTGGGTAGAAAGCAGTGGAGGAGGAGACTTTTATGTTTAAACCCAAAGACCTAGTTTTGCTAATATTAACCTTGTAAAAATGTACAGAGGGTGCTGGGAACAGAAACAGAGTGAATCAGAAGGGGCCTCCCAGGCCATCTAGTCTGACCCCCAGCTCCAGCCAGCATGACTCATGACATGCCTACCATGTGCATGTCTAGCCTGTCCTTAAACTCTCTCACTGATGGGGCTTCAACCACACCACCTCCCATGGAAGCCCATCCCATGCCCTAGGGGTCCTAACCATCAGGAAGTACTTCCTGGCATCCACCTTGAATCTTGATTGCCTGAGCTCTGCTCCACTGGAACGTGTTCTGCCCTCCTCCACAGGGGAAAAAGATCACAACCCACCTCTGTGGGACACCCCCTCATACCTATATGTTGCTAGCAGTTCCCCGAGTCTCTTCTCCAGGCTGAAGAGACCCAGTTCCCTCAGTCTTGCCTCATACAGCTTCCCCTGCAATCCAGCCACCATCCTTGTGGCCCTTTGCTGCACCGATTACAACCTCGCTATTTCCCTCTTGTAATGAGGGGCCCAGAATCTAACACAATACTCCAGCTGTGGGTGTTGTGGGATAACTGTTGCTCTGAAAATGGCTTCTGCTTCAAGAAATTGCTCGGAGCTGCTGCTTAAAGAGAATTTGTGAACAGCTAGTAAACATGTTTTCCATCAAGACCACCCCTTCCGGATTTTATGCGCTGCATCACAAGCTTTTTTTTTTTTGTGCATGAGTACTATAAATATGTGCAATGTGTTGGGAGAGGTCAGACAGAGCTGGCTGTGCAAGGAATTCTGCTGCTGGAGTCCCCTCCAGGCAGTTGCTTGTTTTAATAAAGCCTCTGACAGCTTGTGCTCCTAAACAGAAACAAAACATATCTTCTTTAACAGCAGACTGTAGTAATAACGAACGATTGACTCCACCCATTCTCCCTGATGATCATTCTACACAGAACACCCCCTCAGAACATGCAGCTCAGCTTGCTTTTATTCAGCACCCTTATCCTTCCAAATAAAGCTCTCTTCTCTCCGCTCCACCACTACCATAAACAACTTTTCAGGGCCCCATTGAACAAATTTCCCCTCAGAAGATCATGGGTTCTAAGATAGCTTTTACTTCTGCTGGAAGCTCCTTTTTTCCCCCCAAAGGAAAACATCTCACTATTATTCTATATCCTGCCTTTTGCCAGGAACCCCAGGAGGCTCATGTGGTCATCCCTCTCTCCATGTTATCCTCACAACAGCTCCGTGAAGTTGCTTAGGCCGAGTCTGTGACTGGTCCAAATTCACCCAGAGATCTTCATGGCTGAGTGGGGACTAGAACCTGGAGCTCCCTAGTCTCCAGTCCAACATTGCAACTGCCACCCCTCAGTGACTCTCATTTTATTTGTGGGGTGCCATTTTTATTTTTAGATGGATTGTTAAGTTGCCTCAGATTCCAAGGAAAGGTAGGAGATAAACAGTTTTACATACATACATACATACATACATACATACATACATACATACATACATACCACCTCTGCTGGAAAGATCATATAATCTGCCCCTCAGTGCAGAGACTTGCCTTTCTTCTTTTGAACTTTGCAAAGACTCATGTACACTGCAAGCACTATATAAATATTTTATTAAGTAACAATATGTTGGGCAGGGGGAAGAGGGGATACCTTCTGCCCAGAAGGAGCCACAAAGAACTTGGGAATGTTGGCTTCACAGTGCAATCTTCCATATGTCTACTCAGAAGTAAGCCTCCTGAATTTGAAGAGACTCATTCCCAGGTAAGTATATACAGGACTACAATCTTAAAACACATTTATCAAGCTAAAATGACACCATTTTCTCTATAGAAAAAGCTGTAGAAACAAGATTGTGCATGTTATTTACAATGCTATTTGTTGTAAAAAGCGGATTAAACGAGGAGGAAGATATGGCAAGAACTACCCCCAGTGGCTGGCTAGCTTCAGTGGTCCTCAGTGACAAGTTCGCCATTTAGAAGGACCATTTCATTCCATGCTGCTTGTTACAAGGAGTTACTTTCATTCACATCATTAGCATGACCCTGTATGGATTACCCCTCAGAGCCAAGCTCAAAACCATGTGACGTGCCCTGTAAGGCATTGTTACATGCATGTGTCCACAGGATGAATGCATCACAGAGCTACTTCAGAAACTGCTGGCAGGAGATCTTTGGGATCCCAAGATGCAAAGGAGCATAGCGCAACATGCTCCCAACTCCAAAGGCCTTATGGTTCTGCATAATCTTGACTGCGAGTCATTGCACTTCTCCCTGACACTTGTTTCTTTCCTTGCTATGAGCTGCATTTCGCTTCAATGTTTATCCTTTTAAACGGGGCTTTCCTGCCATCAGAGCCAGAGGCACTTTGGCAGTACCAGCCTCAAACACTAAGGGAGAGATACTCCTGAGGATTAGTGAGGGCCTGCACAACCCCCTTCCTCAGGGACCCACTAGGGCCTGCACCCCCTCCCACCACCAAATGTGCCTCTGCTGTGGCAAAAATGGCCGCAATTCCACTAGAAGATGAGGCACATGGGGGGCATCCACCTTGTTTCCAAAGAGAACTGCAGTTCCAGGTGCAAGAGTCTGTTTGCAAGCAGGGAGCCCGCTCCTCATGTGCCTTGTTCTCCTGCAAATCTGCTGGGGGTGGGGTTGGCCACAGATGCTGCAAAACTGAGTGGTGGTGGCGGGAGGCATCCAGCCACTTTCTCTTCACACTGCAGTTTCAACAGCAAGGGAACACGACTTGAAAGGCAGCTTGGCAACGTTCCCACCTCACAGAACAGAAACCTGTGAACGACACACCAGCTTCACCGGACTGGAGAAGCTCGGGTCCCAAACAAAGAGCCAGCTGTTCTGACTAAAGTGGCAGGCCATAGACACAAGGCCTCTTTAAAGTGGAAATCAGCAGCCAGCCCCCGTGATGCGGCTTCCCGTCAACACCCGCCATTTCCTTCCAGCAGCCTTCAGGTCACTCTGCTGTACTGAGGTCTTTTGTTTCGCACATCATCAAGGCCACGACAGGACACGACTGTCAACTGTCCTACCACCCCAAGCTCCGTGTCAAGCAAGCCATAGACAGCCACAGTTGTGAGGTTCAGTTAATGCCTGCCAGTGTCAAGGTGAAGACACCAGCAGCACTAGCCTCATCCACCGGAGGAGGGGCCTCGGCGTCCTGGTCGCCATGAACAAGTCCCACCGCCTTCTCCAGACAGAGGGTTATAACCTGAGACGAAAGAGAAGAACTTCATGACGTGATTGCTCGGGGGAGCAGTGAGCTGCAGCAAAATGGAGGCCGCAAATGGATGAGAACGCTTCATTGTTCAGAAGGGGGGCAGCAGAAGCAAAGGCAGGGCTTGTATGTTGTGTATGAGGGCCTAGACAGGACATCTGCGTTAAGGAAAAGAAATTCCTCAATCAGCAGGATATCCTGGCACCTTCATGTGTACACAGGATAAGATATTCGCCTTTCCAATTGCTGCTGATATTGTAATATTGCATTTCTACCCGACTTTTATTCTCCTTGCAAAGAACCCAAGGCTGCTTAGAAAGGTCTCCTCCTCTCCATTTTATTCTGACAGTAACCACCCGCGAAATAGGCTGGGTTGAGAGTGTGCAACTGGTCCAGAGTCACCCAGGGGGCTCCATGGCTGAACAGGGACTAGAACATGCAGCTCCTGGGTTCCCCGTCCAAGTACGATGTCACCCTGACCCCTCACACTGTTAGAAGGATATGCCTTGTGCAGTTTCTCTTTTTGTTGCTGCACTGCTGGACATAGTTGGATTGGTCTTAAAGGCACCAGGAGGTCTTTCTGACAGAAGGAAAGCACAGCAATATAAAGAGTGACCTACTAACAAAGGTGCATCACTATGCATGTTTAAACAGAAAAACAATGCTACAAATTCCAGCATTCCCCAGCCAGCCACAGTAGGCGGGTGAACACTGGCAGTTGTTGTAATTTTTCCTGTTTAAACATGCACTGCATTGCACCCCAAATGCATCAAGGCAGTGCAATGGAGTGTGTTCAATTAATCTACTGAAGCTTTTTCCCAAAATGGGGAGATTATCTGGACCAACACCCACCATGTGAGCAACCTCTGGAAGGAACGTCTCCTTCCTTATATGCCCTCGTGCCCCTTAAGATCGGCAGGAGAGGACCTGCTCTGGGAACCCTCCCTGGAGGAGGTAAAGAGGGTGTCTACCTAGAGGAGGGCCTTCTCTGCGGTGGCACCCAGAATGTGGAATGCGCTCCCCAGAGAGGTTTGCCCGGTGCCAACTTTATACTCTTTTCAGTGCCAGGGATTAAGAAACTTTATCAACAGTCGTATTTTGTTTTTGTTGGTGTTATGTTACTTATTTATCACTTTATTATTGTCTTAATTATTGTAATTATTATTGTTTTATTGTAATTATTGCTATTGTAATTATTATTGTTTTAATTATTGAAAGACATCCTGGGATGTTTTTCATACAGGATGGGGCAAAAATATTTTAAACAATGGCTGAAAATGTAGCCAGTCTTAAGTACTGGGTGTGGTTAGGGTTGTTTCCCCAACCTCTAAATGTTTTAGACTACAAATCCTATCATCCCGATGAACAATGGCAGCTGAGGCTAATGGGAGTTGGAGTCCCAAACACCTCAGGGTTTGGGAAAGGTCAGAGCTTCATTCAGTAAATGGGGGGCTTTTGTGGGTGGGGAGTTGCAGAGAGGATGAGAAATGAGGAATGCACATATGAAGAAGCCTTATCTTGGCCTATCACCACTGGTCCAAGAGACCTAGAGCTTCACTCACTCCGACACAAGGTCCCAGGCCAAGTGTGGGCCTGCTGCTGCAGCACAGCCACTCACAATGATGTGGTGGGAGGCTACCAGGAAGAATAATCCTTGCAGTGGCCCTCCACCTGTGAAATGCCCTGCCCAGGGAGATCCACAGGGCACCTTCACTGCTCAACTGTACATCAGGCGAAGCCTTTCAACAGGCATTCAATCTTTACCCTGTCACTCAGTTGACTGTTGGCTCTTTCATATTACTGATATTTTTAATCTTTTAGTATTTGTTGTTATATGTATCCTCTTGGTTTTTCTTTATGATTATAAACTGGTCCAAAGACACCTGCTAGGCCAGTAACATGTACAGCTGGAATTTAAATACATTCCAATGTGTTACTGAACATGCTTTTATTGGGGGCTGCCAAGAACTTAATGCAGACTTACTGCATACCTAGTAGGTGCTTTATATATTCCTCCCATGCACCACAGGAAGGCAGCTGGATAGTAGGCAGGTTGGCAGAGAATTTAGGGTGCCATACTATATTGTACCAGATATACCACATATGCCCTTCTGGAGGTGCACGCAAGCTTCCTTTCAAGTCACATGTGCCAATTCTCCTTCTGATCGATACATCTTGTCAGCTGCTAAGACCTTTTGAGACAGAACCCCCAGACTATTTAATTTGTGTGCCTGGTCAATATCTTCATTCAGTAACACACCTAGACCCAGTGGTCTGAGCTGGCTTCCCACAAAAGCAGGGCAAGGACCCAGAGAGCCATGGCCCAACATGTGCTAAGACATACGAGACTGCTGCAAGGCTAACACACGAGCAGGGACTCTCCACCTTTGGCACATACAGCAGACTTCCCCAACGTGGCATCCTCCAGATATTGTGGACTGCCATTCCCGTAACTCCCAGCCGTCACAGCCAGTGGAGTTAAAAACCAACACATGTGGAGCACACCAAGTTGGAGAAGGTTGAGATACAGCTTGAGGGAAAAAAGACAGGAGTTGTAGCAGCCACAGAAAGAGCCAGAGACCCCCAAACCCTTTTGCCGTCAGTCACCTGGAACTGGAACTCACCACTGGTTCGTAAAGGTTTTCTTTTTGGTTTTGGCTTTGGGACAGCAGCTGATGTTGAGGCTCCAGGCTCAGGTTCCTGACATTCAGAGAAAAAGAGCAGTTCAGTTTCACAGCTCCTTCCAACTCTACTATTCTATGATCCTTTAGTCTGAAGAATCTGCCCCATTCCCTGCCCTGAGAGGCTCACCTGGTTCTGTTGGAAAGTCTCCTTGTAGCTTTTACCTTCTTGCATGCTTTCCCACATAGCTATTTTTTGTTTTCTCTTTTCTTCTTCAAGCTGAGAAGACAACACAGATGTATAAGAATTTGGTTAAAAGGCTTTGGCCAGACTTGCAGATCTTGGTGACCTGCTATGTTGAACATGGCCTGCTGGGGCCTATACCAGCTGCTAGTCTAGAATTGCACAGAGGACACTGGCTGGCTTCATGTAGCCCCATGAGTCAGAAGTTTTGCCTGCCTGATTCAGGCAGTCAGAAATGGAAAACAGAACTAGCACCAGGGCTCACAGCCTTCAACTTGTTTCTTCACAGTTTTCATGCTAGAATACTTGCACGTAAGCAAGTCTGTTTCTGTCATACTGCATATTGTGGACAAGCACTGTAAAATTAAAATTCATGCATCACTCTACAAGTCAACTGAAGACTTGTAAAGATCCTCAATGCAAACAGAAACAGTTATTTATAATATGGTTCAGTTTTTCCAGATGCAGCATAACAGTCAGATTTATGTACATTTCCCTCATATTTCTGAACAACATATGTAACCACTGACCATTTTAGCTATTGTGGATGGCAGATCTGCTGAGAATCTGTTTGGCTGTCAAACCCAGAGCTACCTGGCTGGAACATTACCTTCCTCTGTTTCTCTCTGAATTTTTCAGCTTGTGCATTCAATTCTTCCTGCATTCTCATACGGGCAGCAAGCAGAGCTTCTTGTCGTCTAACCACAGCATCCGGTTCTAATCAATCACAGAGGAGAGTTAGCAAAAGCAGCTGCCTCCAAGATATTCAAAGAGGCTTGAGCTACGCTTAAGCACAACCATCTGTTCCAATATAACCCAAATTGACCTTTGCTTACTTTGCCAATACTACTTCAAATACATAGTTCATCACTGTCATCTCAGATTAATGCTTCAGCTACACAGATCTAGACTTTAGTTCTGACATTCAAAGAGATTATTAATTGACTCTAAAGCTATTCCAGGCCTTTCAGTCATTTACCTCATCAACTTAGTGGGAGCATCAATCAATACTGGCTGTGATTCAAAACACTACGAAAATAGACATTGTTGAGGTTCATTTCTTCTCGCACCCTGCACACACTCTCCAAAAAGTTCAACATCAGGACTGGGGATCCTCTGTGGAACTATGTGAAGTGGTGCAAGAGGCTGCAGTTTCAAGTCTTATGCATGCAGAGAAGGTCTTTGGAAGCACATATGGAGGCCTTTCTGACTTTGGGCGGCAGGTTGAGGGAGGAGGAGGAAAACACTTTTGATGTTCCTCCCCTCCTACGGCCAGCTTAGCATGTGGTCCCTCAAGGTTGCCTGTCATGCTTCTGAAGCAGACTGTCATCCTTTCCCATTGGAACACATATGCCATCTTGTCAGTGTCTCAGCTTTACCTGGGCAGGCAAATAGTGATAAATAAATGGTGACTGCTGCTTCGGCCATAATGTAAATTAACACTGTCACCATATCAGCATAGGCTGCAGAAGAGGGAGATGAAACGCACAGCCTTTCCTACTGAAAGACCAAGTCCATCAGGTGTGACCTCTTCCTAAACAGTTTACCCAGCTGGTTATTATAACCATTTCACCTCATGAGTTTGCCTTTTTATATTCCTCCTCCAAACCTTTTTCTTTCTGTTTCATATTTTTGATTGCAAGCTCAGAGGCAAGGAATGCCTTATTTTTACTGAAATGCAAAATGCTCTGAAAGCCTTTTTGCCTGAACAGCAAAGCAGAGATGTTTTAAAAGAATAAGCACACTTCAAATGCTTCAAGATGCCCCAACACTGGGGCAGGAATAATAAATAACCTTTTCATTAACTATTGTAATTCTATTGTAATATGTTTGAACACAAGGTACAGATTGAAAATTGGCTTCCAGAAAAAAAGGACAGTTTCAATAGCATAGGCTTTTATTGTAAGAACCTTAGCAATAACAAAAACACTTTAATTTGATATTCCCAGCACAAGAGAGGTGAGGTTTTTTTTGGGGGGGGGGAGTTGTCTCAATGTTGTGTAAGCTTCCCAATTCCCTAAAGCTCTTCATCTGTCCAACCGTATCAGACAGACAGCTTTATATTATTCTGAGTTCTATATGCAGATGATCACTACATGTTAGCAGTAATGGCTGCAGGTTTTAGCATTTCTCACAGGTTTTGAAGAGTAAAGTAAACAAGTTCCTGCAACAGAAAGCCTGCAATCTAAATTTCAACAATAGAGAAGATAAAAGTTTAAGTTTTGTAAGCTCATTATTCAATTCAAAAAATATTTTTCTCCGTTAATTAGCAATGTGTCGTGTTATTTGCTAGAAGATTTCAGTAAATGCATATAACCCTCATGTGGTGATTCTGCACACAGATTAAGTTGTGTGCACTCTTGAACCATATGTACAAGTCACTTCAAATGACAACAGAAATTCAAAAGGGCAACCCCTGAAGAGAATTAGCATATCCGTTCCCAGTCCCATACAAACCAACAGCTGTCGTGTCCAAATGGGACCTGCTGGTGCCTCGAAAGCTCTTGGCAAGCCTTTGCACAAGCAGAAAAATAGCAATGAGGCCGAAAAGGATGTACCATCCGTATTCTGAGAAGAATGAGCCCACTGGAAGAGAGCACAAGTAGAAAAAAGTAGTAGTCAAATTTGTTTGCTAAAAGCCACTGGTCATCTTAAAACATGCAATATAAATTCAGTTGAGAGATACGTTTTAACATAATGATCCAAGAACATTGGGACTAATTTTATATAACAAAATAATAAAATGTGCAAGGGCAAATGTAGAGACCTCTATCACCCAAAAGACAATATTCTTTCTTTTCTTCGAAAAAGGAATTCTCTCAAGTTTCTCTTTCAAAGACCTATTCTTAGAGGAATTATACAGAAAATTCACAATATATTCCACTTCTAGACTAGTGTGTAGGGCAGGATTAGGGAACCAGGGGCCCTCCAACTATTGTTGGATTCCAACTCCCATCAACCCCAGCTAGAACAGGAAATACTCGGATGTGACAGGAGTTTAGTTCAGCAACATATGGAGGGTCACAAACTTTCCCACCCCTGGTATAGCCAAAAGAACCGGGTTATGGTTAAGTAATCATTCTCTAACAGCAGTAACATAACAGGAGCAAATACTACTGTCTCGTTCAGCCATTTGCTTGCCCTTGTGCTTCAAAAGACAATCCCAATCATTTTGTAGAGAGCATGAAAGCAAAGGAAACTTGAAGGTGGGAATGAGGAGAAAAATCAAAAGCATTTCTCTCTAGCTACAGCCAGGCATAAAATGACAGGGCCACCAATATCTCCTGCACCCTCTGTAGGAAGATCTGCATATATCCATGCATATGCAAATACACTGCATGCATATCAGCAAGCATCAGAAACTCCAGCGCCTAATTCTAAAACCAGGCAGCAAAATGAATAAAGTGGCTATTAGTCGCCATCAGCAGATATTCGTATTAATAAGGAACATGATGGTTTTTAATCTTTTAATCCTAAGGTCACTTGAAGCAAAACTTTTTCCTCCTCCTTTTAAACTTGCTATTGCTAAGAAACGAGTTGTGCATGAAATCCCACTTTACAGCTGAGGAACAGGGATGTTCAGAGATGTACAACTTCAGCTTTCCACCACTCAGCACACTTGAATAGCCTGGTTCAATGTTTCAAGGGGGGTACATTTTTTGGAACTCTCGCTAATCAGATGTCAGAAAACTTTGCCAATCTATACCATCACCCCAAGATCTTTCAAGAATCCCAACCTATACTTCCTGCCCCTGAATTCAATAGTAAGCCTCCTATCACAAAACAGATTCTTATTTTTCAGAATGCTTTTTCAGAATTCAAAATGCTTACAAGGCCTTTTCTTGACATTACAGTTCCCAGCACAGCTAACTAAGGGATGCCTAGTCCTTCCAGAGGATACTGGGCGGGCGGGGGGGGGGGGGGGGGGGGGAGAGAGAGTCACTGGCTTTGATCAGTCTTGCACTGGCCTGGAGCAAATGCGGCAGGATGGATAAAAATGCTGTACTGGGAACCTGGGGAAACCTTTGCCCATAATGAAGCCCACAGGGCGATTTTGGCCAGTCACACACACTCGGCCTAACCCTCCTCCTCAAAGGGTTGGTCTTGCTGAGAAGATAAAATGGAGTTATGTAAGGCACTATACAAGCCACAAGAGAAAAAAGGCAGGCTCTAAATGCCAACCCTGAATATTCTTTAGAAGGCCTGATACCGAAGATGAAGCTCAAATACCTTGGCCAACTAATGTGAAGGAAAAACTCACTGGAAAGACCCAGATTCTGGGAACGATTGACGGCAAAAGAAGGGAAAGGCAGGGGTTGAGGTGGCTGGATGGGGTCACTGGGGAGGTGGGTGTGGGCTTGGGTGGACTCCGATGGATGGTGGAGGACAGGAAGGCCTGGAAGAGTGTTGTCCATGGGGTCGCGATGGGTCTGACGCGACTCCGCGACAACTGCAGTAACATAAATGCCATATAATAGCAGAGGAACATCCTTCGCCCAGCCTGATGCCTCGCAGATATGTCACAACAGGCCCTTCCCGAGTGTGCCTGCGGGCAAGTGCTCTCGCAGAGCCGTGGCCATGCTGCTCGGGGCCGATGAGTCGCAGACCAGCGCTTCTAACGGGCACCGGGCCGGGCAGAACTGCCCCAGGAACACCACAGCACCTTCCCACGCCCAAGGACCGCGGGCAGCGGCTCGTCAGGACCGCCGCCAGGAAGCCCCGTCCCCAGCCGCCCCCTCACCTGTGTGCTGAAGCAAATGAATCCCCTCCTGCTCGAGCGGCGTCGCGGCAGGGCCCACCGCCATCTTGCCAGATGCCGGAACGCCACGGCGGCATCCGGGTCCTCCACCCCTACTCACCTCGCCCAGCGTGGCGGCCCAATGACAGAGCTGTACCTCAGAACGCCTCCGCCCCTTGCAGAGCCAATCAGGATAGAACCAGGAGCGGGCCAATCCGAAGGAGAGACTGGAGCAAACGGGGCTGGCGTGTGCAATACAAGCGACCAATCAGGAGAGGGGGGGAGGAATGACGGTTAAGGAGGATGACTCGGCTGCGTGAAGGGAGCAGAGCCTGACGCAACCTGGAGGCGCGCCTGGGCCGCGGAAAGCGAAGCCTCGCTGGAGGCGGCGGGCTTACGGTAGAGTAGGCCCGCCCAAAGCCGGCGCGTGTGCGTACGCAGGCGGCTACAATGGCACACCTGTATCGTTCATTTCATTTCTACACCGCCGCACAGCCGAGCTCCCTGGGCGGTTTTCAGCAATCCGTAAGAACACAGTGACCCTGCAAGACTGCTGGGGTCGGTAACGCCACGCGCGCGCACACCCCGGCCCTGCGTGGCCAAGTAAACCTTCAAAGGACACAGCGAAGCGGGACATCTTAACTGGTGCTGAAAATACGACGAATTCGGCGCCAGCCAGGCTGCAGTGGGCAGGTTGCTCCACAGAGGACGGGCACCACAGAGAAAGCCCTTCTGCTTGTTACTACCCTCTGCACTTGCCGTAGAGGTGGCACTTGGAGGAAGGCACCAGAAGTTGAGAATAGTGCACACTGAGAAAAATACATTAAATGTTTAATTATCTCATTTATATTATTAAAATATATGCTGCCTATTCCACCAATGGCATCCCTAGGCAGCTCACAGTATCAAAATAACAGCATCCAACAACTCACAGTATTAATAGTGCAGCACCAATAATGACCCAATCCATCTATAAATTAGTACAAATGTAAAATTACAATAAATTAATCTCCCTAACAAGTCATAGTGGCATCAAAATATTAAAATATATTTGGAAGAGATAAGTCTTTGCCTAGCACCGAAGAGAATACAAAAATGGTGTCAGGCATATCTCTAAAGTTTAGGGAGAGCATCCCAAATACAGGGAGAAGCAGCAACAGAAAAGACCCTCTTTCTGTTAGCCACCCTTCTACTTCCCTGAGGGATAGCTCCCTGCAAAAGGGACCCTTCATCATTCTCAAAGGCCGGGTAAGTATATCTGGTGCAGACAGTCCTTTAGACAACCAGGGCATAAGCCATTGAGGGCTATATATGTCAAAACAAGCACCTTGAATTGGCCTAGGGCCACAATTGGTAACCAGAGTTGTTCTTTTAGTACAAGTGTTAGATGGGCCACTCTAGGAGTACCAGTCACCAACTGGATTGCCCAATTCTGTACCAGTTGTAACTGCTGGACCTTCTTCCAGGGCAGCCCCATGTGAAGTGCATTACAATTACCTATTTTCGATGTTACCAGTTAATAGGTAATTATTTTCAGGCTTTGTCTGGCCAGGTAGGGACAAACTTGATAGATCTGCTGCAGCTGGAGAAAGACACTCCTGGACACCGAATTCACCTGGCATTGTAGGGATAAACCCAGGTCCAGAAGCACCCCCAGGCAGCAGACCCTGTCCCTTAGGGGGAGTGTGACCCCATTTAGGATAGTGTAATGCTGCTCCAACCTGCCAGAAGACCCTCCCCCCTACTAATAGCACCTCCGTTTTGTTTGGATTGAGCCTCAGTTTGTTGACCCTCATCTAGGCCATTATTAAGCTCAGACCCTGGTTCAGGACAGCGACAGCCTCACCTGGGTGAGATGTAAAAGAGAGGGAGAGATGAGTATCATCAGCATATTGCTGAGACCTCAGCCCAAACCTTCGGATGACCTCTCCCAGCAGTTTCATGTAGATGTTGAAAAGCATGGGGGACAGCACTGAACCCTATGGTACCCCATGATGTAACCGCCATGGGACAGAGCAGCTGTCCCCCAGCACCACCTTCTAGACCTGGTCTAGCCAGGTAAGAGTTGAACCACCACAAAGCGGTGCTTCCCGTTCCCACCCCGGCCAACCTGTCCAAAAGGACACCATGGTTGTGTCGGAAGCTGCTAAGAGGTCAAGGAGGACCAACAGGGTCGCACTCTCTGTCCCTCTCCCTGCAAAGATCATCATAAAGGGTGACCTAAAACCTGATTGAAATGGATCTAGATAATCTGTATCCTCCAAGAGTGCCTGAAGCTGCCAGACCACCACACACTCCAACACCTTGCCCAAGAATGGGAGATTAGTGATGGGTTAGTAGTTGTCAAACATCCCTGGATCCAGGCACAGCCTTTTAAGGAGTGGTCTCACCACTGCCTCCTTTAATGGGGCAGTGACCACTCCCTCTCTTAATAAGGCACTGACAACCTCCTGGACTTCAGGCCGAATCCCCTTCACAGAACTCCTAACTAACCATGACGGACAAGAGATGAGCGGGCATGTGGCAAATGGGACAGAGTCCAGCAGCTTGTCCACATCCTTGGGCTGCAATAACAAACTCATCCAATAATGGACCTTCAAACAGTGCACTGGACACATCCAAAGAATAAATTACACTGAAGGTAATCAAGCTCTTGATGGATCTATTTTTCCTGCAAAATGTTGAACAAATTCCTTGCGGCAAGGTGTCAAGGGCCCCAGGGTCTCATCTGGAAAAACAGATTGCAAGAAGCCTGACCACTCAAAATGGCTGGATTGAACTGCACTGTGAGGAAGCAGAAGAGGCAAAGAAGCCACGCTTTGCCTGCTTTATTGCCACAGAATAGGCTTGCTGATGAGCTCTTAAATGTGTTCAGTCAGATTTTCCCATGTGGAATTAAAAGCATTTCTTTTGCAGATTATTAAAATGGCTTATAGGGAACTAAAATTGTTGTGGGTGAGATGAGCATAGGGAAAGCTATCCTGAGCATTTGAACATTCATGCTTGCCCCACTTGCCCAGTAGTGTAGCTCCCTCCTCTGACAAGCAAGCAGCTTCCTTCTTGACAGCAAAATGGTCAAGGATAATTCCAGCTGCTCTGCAGTGATTTCCCACAACCTCCCAAGCACCAGCTCTGGAAGGTCCCTCAGTTTGCCAATTTGCAAGGCAGACACACAGTGACTTATCTCCTAGACAGCCACTGTCTCCCGTGAGGTTATCTTACAAAATACCTACAATGGGAGGGAGATGCCCACATCGCTCTGAAGTGACTGAAGTACAAACTACTTGGCCGCAGGCCCTGCAAGGAAGGTAGCTGGAGAGGTGTCATGGTTCCCTCTAAACAACTCAACTGCTTTTGGGGGCAAATATGTGATTTGACATTTGCGGTTCAGACACCATTCACTCTTTCTCAAGATCTTGGTTAGGTTCGGAGTCTCCAAGCCTCACCAAACTGCCTTCTGTGAAATAGATGTTGCAGCTGAAAACTCTGGGTACAAACAACTGTTTCTGTATTCTGGCCTTGTACTTAGACAAGTTCTTTTGCCCTTACCAGTTTGCTTTGTAGAAAATGCTATGCGTGTGTGGCTGTCTCCATGGTGACCATTTTGTGAGAAGGCAACCCCCCCCCGCCCCACAGTCCTTTCATGAGAATACCCACAACATTCAAAGTTGTAAGTGTACCCACTAGCCCCAAAGAAAAGCAGGTTGCTTACCTGTAACTGATGTTCTTCAAGTGGCCATCTGTGCAGTCACACATAGGGTTCTGCGTCTGCGCAGTGCCTTTGGCCGGAAGATTGAAAGCTAACGGTTTTTGGCGGGAAGCTCCGCTCCCCTCCCCCATGGCCTATAAAGAGCGGAGCGTCCGCCATTTGTTCAGTCTTTGACGACCGAACGTGCGCCCCCTTGTGGAAAAATTTTCAGTATGAGATAGGAAAAATGGGATTGGTACCAAGAAAAAATGGGAAACTTTCGGTACTGATGAATGTGTCCACTCACCGACACTGAGCAGGGCCGGCGGGTGGGTTGTGTGACTGCACAGACGGCCACTCGAAGAACATCAGTTACAGGTAAGCAACCTGCTTTTCTTCGTCGTGGCCTCTGTGCATCACACATATGGGTAGATTAACAAGCTTACCATCAAAGGAGGAGGGAAGGTGTCCTCATTGTAGGACGGAGGAGAGAACAGCTCTACCGAAGGAGCAGTCCCATTGAGCCCAAACATCGAGATGGTAATGCTTGGCGAAAATGCAGGGATTCGCCCAAGTAGCAGCTTGGCAGACATCATCAATCGGAACTCCGAATGCGAATGCAGAAGACGTAGTGACAGCTCTAGTAGAATGGCCTCGGGGAACTGTAGGCAGTTCGAGCTTAGCTAACTGGTAACACAAGATAATAGTGTGGACTATCCATTTAGAAAGCCTTTGTGGAGTGACTGGGTTGCCCTGATCTCTAGCCGAATATCTGATGAACAGTTTATTGGATTGCCGAATAGACTCCGTTTGCGATCGATAAAAGGCTAAACAACACCGAACGTCAAGGGAGTGCAAGGATCTTTCCAAGGGATTCGATGGCGATGGAAAAAAGGCAGGCAGTACAATGTCTTGTCCTGTATGGAAAGGTGTAGAGACTTTGGGCAAGAAAGATGGGTTGAGACGTAAAATGACCTTTTCTCTGTGGAAGTTTAGATAAGGAGGGTCGATGCGGAGGGCCAGTGAA